TGCGCTATCCACTAGGCCACCTAGCTGCCCACTCTAGTTGAGTTTGTAATGATGTTATAAGGTCTTCCTGAGAAAGCTTAGGTATGCCAACCCTCTGAGACTTTTCCCTATAAACCCTGAGGCAAAGTTGAGCCCTACAGATGCACAGTGGGGCTTGGGGGATCTAGAGATCACACTTTAGGGTTAAGAAAAGATGAAACATACAAGGGGTAGTAAGCATTTATTATAGGGATATATATTCAAGTAGTTTAACATGAAAAAGGAGGTAAATTGGATGGTACCTAGAATCTGATCATTCCTTTCAGCTTGGATGATATTAAATATGCTTTTAAAATCAGACATAAATGCCTTTGTACAATTAGACTATTCCCTTTATATAACATTGGTGCTAGAGAATAAGACAAGGCTCCATGCCATATAGTCTATGCTAGGCTTTTATGGCATATAGCTATAATTTAGGGGATATGATTTGGTCTAAGGTCTAGCTAAAAATAGATAGCAACAAGCTACGATATCGCACAGTTCAGTTGTAATTGAGAAATGACATCATTATCCAAGAAACATGATACCATATCGATGAGAGACAATGTGGTATAATGTAAAGGGCAGTGAATTTGGAGTCAGAAGAGCTGGGTTCAAATCCTGATTTTGACATTTACTTGTTATCGTCAAGTCACGCTTGAGCTCAACTGTTTTTTCACTGAAGCGGCAGCTAGGTCGCACAGAGCCTTGGATCCAGAGGCAGGAAGACCTGAGTACAAATCTAGCCTCAAACTCTAGCGTAGGACGCTGGGCAAATTATGTAAACTCTGTCTGCCTTAGTTTCCTCATCTGTAAAATGGAGATGATAATAATAGCACCTATCTCCCAGGGCTGTTGTGAAGATTAGATAGTTGTAAAGCGCTTTGTAAAACGTAAAGCACAGGGCTATTGTAATAAATGTACATCGCAAATCTTAAAGCACTTTATCATGGTTTATTATCAGTGTAAGATATTTTGAAACATACAGGAGAAAATTACTCAATAGTCATACCATACAGTGGCGCCCCCCCACCATGAGTTTTTTTCCCCCCAGTATGGCATGTGTGGGAGATCAATTAATCAATGACATATTTACTAAATGCTCAGTGATATATACCTTAGATGCAGGGTAAATAGAGCAGGGTTAAGTAGCAATGCTCACTTCCTCTGGGTCTGAAATTATACCCCTGCCTTTGTTTTCTTCCTTTCGGATTCCAAGTGCTCATTAATGACCTCACTTCCACATGTTTTCTCTATGAAAAGAATATACAAAGCATTCACTTCATATTCTCTCCATTTCTGCTACTTATTATGGCTTCCTAGGTTATTTGTTGTTGTTGCTCAGTCATTTCAGTCACGTCCAACTCTTTGTGATCTCATTTGGGGTTTTCTTGGCAAAGATGCTGGAGGGGTTTGCCATTGCCTTCTCCTAGATTACAGACTGTTTAAATTGGTGCTCGGGGATGTTAAGTGGCATGAGATTGTGTTCCTTAGGAGTTCAAGGAACGTGTTTTATCTGAAATTGTGTCTCTCCCCCAATCTTAGCACACATAATCATTGTTGTCACCGTCATTATCATCATTATATCATGGGTGTTTAGTGTTTGTTGAATCGAATACCTCCAGACCCCAATGCTTTTTCTTACTTGATCTTCCTGACTCTTCTGACTAACCAGTATATAACCCCTTGTCTGAAGTGTGCCTCTTTCTGTCTCTCAACCGCTTACCTTTTCCAGGTGTACGCTTAAACTAGGTGGGATAAGTCAATTGTTAAATTTTCAGTGTGAGCATTTATACCTCAGAAATCAGTAAATGCTATGCATCAGGGCTTGATTTATTGTTTTGTGGACTGTGTGGACTTAAGAAAGTGATATAGAAAATTTTAACAGTGTAGATTAAACTTAAAAGTGTGTCATGGGTACATTTTTTTCCCCGGAGAGTGGATTGTTAAACATTTACCAGCACGCTTCTGTGTTGCCCCTAGCTCCTGACCTTTGTGTTTACTGAGTTAACTTGACTCTTCTCTGCTTAGAGGAATTGAGAATCATCTACAAAATTGGAAATTTTTATTTGCATTCTCAATTCCAGGTCACTTATAAATATGTTAATAGCAGCTTTGGTGCATATCCTAAGGATATTCTGCCCTTTATACTTCTTTATCTAGATATGCCATCATTTTATTTATACCCTTTGTTTACTGTCACAAAGCCAGTTCCCTTTACAGGATTAAAAAACAAACCCCAAAACACACAAACAACTCACTCTGCCCAATGTCTTATTTACTCTTTCTCAAAAATAGCTTGAAGCCTTATCAAATGTTTTTTTGAAGTCTAAAATAGATTACATTCACTGCTTATCAATTTGCCATACTGAGAACACTAACAGACTTCAAGCTAATACGGCTGCCTGAAGGGGAGGTAAGTTTCCCAGCTTCCATACACCTACTCCAGCAAAATCCAGAAGTTCACAACAGACCAAATAATAATCAGAAATTAAATGAGAAATTACAGTAAATTCTTTTACACCACAACCATTTAAGAGGTCAACCAGAAACCTCAGAGTAACAGGAAAGGCAGTTGCCAAGCAAAGCCAGTGCCCTTTCATGGTACCTTCCCAATGTGACCAGAGATAGGCCAGGGAAGGAGAAAAAGTAAGGGGCTCTCCTCACCATTTCTCCCCTTTCTGGGGTAAGAAAACCACAGGGTAGAGAAGGAGCTCCTTGGAAGCTCCATGATATGGCAGTGGGTAATGGCCAGTGAGTGGCTCCATGCTGTAGTGCTCAGACCTGGACTGAGGTCCCTATGATTCTGTCCTGAGATACCAGAGATCTTTGAGATACCTGATCTTGGAGATCTAGCTAGCACTCTGAACCTCAATGAACCAAGGCAGCTGAACCACTGAAGGTAGAGGTCAGTACAGGAACCCAGGTGATCCAGGTTGAAACCAACCAGGGCTAACCACTCCATCCAAAAGTGCAGTAGGGAGCACATCCTGACCCTGGCACAAAGCCCCAATTCAGGAGAAGTGAATAAATGTCAAAAAGAACACTGACTAGTATAAAAAAAATCATTATAGATCTAAAGATCCACCCAAAGAAGAAGCAACTCCATAACAACTAGATGATCAAAGGAATAAAAGGACTTTCCACAATGATTACGTGAAGCCTTTCTTAATGGAGACTTAGGAAGGTTTAGAATTCCCAAAGTCCAGTACAAGAAAACACAGTGAAGTAAGCCAGCCTTATTGACAGGACACACTTACACTATGAAGGGCAGACAGGGTTTGCTGGAAGTTGGTTACATCTGCTGGATCCCTGGCTGGAATTGGGACCCCAGAGGAAATGGGGTACCCCTCCCCCAACCCAATAAAACCTGGTGGGATTTCTGGAGTTCTTATCTGGCCCTGGAAAAGAGAGAGGAGCCTGGACCCGGGGACTGCTGTTGTTTCATGCTAGTGAGGCATGTGGGTAGGGGAGGAAGGCTCCTGGGGAAATGACTTTTCCCAACCTCTCTTAATTATTTCCTACTGAGCCCGTAAATAACTTGTTTGTACATTTGATTGTGAGCTCCTCGAGGGTAGGGGCTGTCTTTTGCCTCCTTTTGTATCCTCAGCACTTAGCAAGCACTTATTAAATGTTTATTGACTAACTTATTGAATTGTGCTGTGGTGGCAGACTAAGAGACTGGGTTGATGTGATTGTCAGATATATTCCTTTCACCAGAGTCCCTGAGAACATCTGAGATATTGGTTGAAACCTTTTATTTTTTTCCCTCGGGGGAGTTTAAAATGATTAGAAAGAAAATGTCCCATGTGTCTAGACTATGTGTGAAGAGGCTTTATAAGTTAATTACAATGTGAATCTTTTTTTTTTTGAGCTGCCTCCAAGGAAACAGAGAGAGAATTTGAGAAGCCAGACATTTGATCCCCTCTTTCAGCTAGTCACGTACCCTAGTGCTACTGGAGAAACCCAGAAGTCTGCCGCGTGATCATATAGGTGTATGTATGTGTGTATACCTGTATACATGATCGTATGCATGATCACATCAGTGTCGGGAAGGGAAGAAACATCTGTATAGTGTCTGCTATATGTTAGGCACTGTGGTAAATGCTTTACAAATATCATTTCATTTGCTTTTCACAACAACCCTTGGAAGTAGGTGCTGTTAGTATCCTCATTTTTACAGCTGAGGAAACTGAGGTAGACACTCTCCCAGGATCTCACAGCCAGTAAGTGGAGGCCAGATCTGATCTCAGGTCTTGCTGACTCCAGGCCCAGTGACTTTTAGTTCTGATTATGAATGGGGAGGATCAAGAGTTACATGGTACCTCTGAGCTGAGTTGAGTGACATTTAGTCAGTCAGTCAGTGAGTATTTATTAAAGGTCTGCTATGTGCCAGGCATTGTGTTAAGCTCTAGGGATACAAAGAAAGGCAAAAGGCAAAAGATATTTCCTGCTCTCAAGGAATTCACTGTCTGATGGGGGAGACAACAAGCAAACAACTATGTGCAAACAAGATAACACAAGATAAACTGGTGCTAAGTCAGGGAGGGAAGGTACTAGCAGTGAAGGGAATCAGGAAAGGCTTCTTGTAGAAGGTGAGGTTTTATGCGGGGCTTGAAGGAACTCGGAGAAGCCAAGAGATAGAGATGAGGAAGAAGAGAGTTCCAGATATCAGACACAGTCAGTAAAGATATTCAGATGGAGTGTCTTGTGTGAGAAATAGTATGGAGGCCAGCGTCCCTGGCATTTAAAGAATATTTGTGGAGAAATCCCTATGTGTTTTAACAATAGAGTATACAGAAGTATGACATAGGCCTTGATCTTGAAGAGCTCACATCCCAAATAATCACAGAACATGATCACATGGCATGTGATCAAATAAGAGAATACAATAGTTACATAAGGCATAATAGCTGTTCAGAGAAGGAATAGTATGAGCTAAGAATATTTGTTAAAAAAAAAAGGTTTTATTATTCCCTTTTTAAAATATCAGTCATTTACCAATATATGTGCCCCCACTAAAACAAAAAACAAACAAAATGTAACATTAATTGCCTAGCCTCCATTGCCTAAAAGCCAGGTATATTACATTTCACTCCCCACCCCCTCATTTCCTGTCCCATCTCAGATTCAGAGTTGGGGGGGGGGTCTAGGCTCTCTATCATTGGCTTTAGTCCCAGAGTTGGGGGGGGTCTAGGCTCTCTATCATTGGCTTTAGTCCCAGAGTTGGGGGGGGTCTAGGCTCTCTATCATTGGCTTAGTCCCCCGATGGTGTTCCCTTAATTGTAGGAGGGGGTTTCCCTTGTACCCCAGTTCCATTTGACTTAACAGCCAGATTAGCTTTCACTAAGGAATATTCACGTCAAAGGTACAGTAACATCTACAAAGATACTCCCCAATATGTGAAACATAATCTCCTTCCTCTATCATCAGCATCACTTCATATTCTGGAGAGGGGAGCCTTGGAGGATGCGGATGACAGCTTCTCTCAGTTCCTTTATAGTACAGTCCCAAGTTCCAAGTCCAAAAGCCCCCTTGGGCTTGAGTCCCAGGCACCTTGGGTTCTCAAGGCTTCCCTGCTAGGTTGGCTGGCTGCAAAATACAGCCTGGAATCCTGTCTCTGAGGTCACCATGAGTCGATGATTCAGGCTCCCAGTGGGGAGTCTACCTTCTGCACTTGACACTGAGGACAAACGAAACTGAAGAAGGCAAATATCCCAAGCCAGTTTCTCAGGGCAAACCTTCACCCCTTCTGGAAACCTAGCAAGAAATGAACACACAGTAAAGAGCAGTCTGGCAGTTTTAAAGACACAGCCTATTCTGACTATGCAGCCAACTGAAGGAGGGTACTCCCATACAAGTGGTAGTGGAATAAAGAATATCTTCTCCCAGAAGCTGGTGCTTCCATTTTAGGTGACTTGAGTATGTTCCGGCTTGTTATACCCCATTTGAAATATGACATCTCTGGCAAATAGGCAGGGGTAGGTACATTTTTTTTTTTGTCTAGGCAATGGGGTTAAGTGACTTGCCCAGGGTCACATAGCTAGTAAGTGTTATGTGTCTGAGTCTGAATTTGAACTCAGGTCCTCCTCAATCCAGGGCCAGTGCTCTATCTATTGCACCACCTAGCTGCCCCATAGGTAGGTACATTTTGAACATGATCCTTGTCCCTAGTTCTGAACAGTTCTCTGGGGAGGCATAAGCAGTATCTTTTCACTTGCTTCCTTTAGTTTCATATAGTAAAGTCTCAAAATGGCCAGTGATGCACAATTATATACAATCCCACATGTAAATATGTAAATCACAATTATACACATATACAAAGTTTTGCAGATTCAACAAAATAAGGAACATTTCACAAAGCTTACCAAATATTTCTGCTTGTTCAACTTTAGTCTTACAGAGCTTTTCTCAACTCATAAATGAAAGAAAGAACAAAGACAAAGAAAACTGGCTTCTCCTCTTGGACAGAAACCTAGTCCACACTGAGCTTTCCAAACATGGAGCTCGATCTGCAGGGATTTGGAACCTGGCATCAACTAAGTGTTACCTCCATTTCACAAGAGAAAATGGTTCTAGGAAGAAACTCTTCCGTGATTCCCTCTGTGCATAAGGCCATCCAAACGAGGTCTGATAAGTGTCCCTTTCAATACATGGCACATTGGAATTGTCCAGGGATCCCATTATACCATAAGTGATTCCCATAGACATCTAGGCAAATTTATTTTGGGTCCTTATTCCAAAGGGCAGATGAAATTCCCTCACAGATCCCTGATAGTATAGGAGTAAGCCAACTGGAATCATCTACTCAAATAGACATGAAGACTAGTGGGTCCAATTAGAGAAGAAACTAAGAATGCCAGCTACCTATGGATTTTACAGGCATTCTTACCCTTACAAGTTGTAGGGCATTTTGCTCTCACAAAAGGCAGTCTCGGTGCTGTTTAAATGCAAAAAAACAATATGAACATTTCTAATAGATAGTAGCAATCCACTGATTCCAGATTTGTCACATTAAACTTAATAACAATACTTTATATATGATTCAATAACATTTCAATAATACAGAAAGTATTAGTATTTAGACAATCAACTAATCAATAAATGAAAAGTTTACAAAATTAAATCAATAGATCTGAAAATACACACTGAGAAAAAAAATCAACCATCGATTTACAGCCAAAAAAATATAAAATGCCAATTTCTTTAAGATCAAAAAGACTTAAGGTACCTAAAATTAAAAGTCCTGGGCAGAGAATCTTTCTAGGGGGCTACAAAAATGTGAGGGACCCAATTTTATCTCAGACAAACCCTGACATGTAACAATTATTACTCTGGCCTTCACTGCCTGAAGGCCAAGTATGTTACATTCCCCTCCCACACCCGATCCCAGGTTCTCAGGTACCTTAAGGGAGTTTTGTTTTGGGAGGGGTCTAGGTTCTCTACCACTGGCTTTAGCCTCCTCTGATGGTGATCCCTCAATTGTAAGAGGGGGCTCCCTTGTACCCCAATTTTATTTAACTTATTAACAGCTAGATTGGCTTTTACAAAGGAACGTTCACTTCAAAGGTATAATGACAAATATACAAACATACTCCCCAACATGAAGGGCATAATCCCCCCACTCTACCATCAGTACCACTTCACGCTCTAGAGAAGACAGTCTTGGAGGATGAGGTTCACAGCTTATCTCAGTTTCTATTTTGCATAATCCCAAGTTCCAAGTCCAAAGTTCCCCTTGAGTCCCAGGCACCTTGGGTTCTCAGGGCTTCCCTGCCAGGTTGGCTGGCTGCAAAATCCAGCCTGGAATCCTGTCTCTGTGGTCACCATGAGTCAATGATTCAGGGTCCAGTGGGGAGTCTACCTTCTGCACCTGAAACTGAGAAGGAAAAATGAAACAGAACAAGGCAAACACAACTGAGCCCATTCCTTAGGACCACAGGAGAACAAGGGAAGGGAGCCCTTCTCCCTTCACCAATTCAGTTTGTGGCACCTGCACTGTGGGTGAACCTCACCTTCTCTGGACAACCAGCAGGATAAGAGCACATAGGAAAGAGAGCCCAGGAAAGACAGTGAGACTTTCCCAGTCTGGCAGTTTTACAGACAGTCTGTTCTGGCTAGATAGCCAGTCAAAAGAGGATACTCCCACACAAGTGGAAGAGGAATGAAGAATGTCTTCTCTCAGAAGCTAGTCCCTCTATCTTAAGTGATCTGGGCATGCTCCAACACTCTGTAACATAAAAGACAACAACCTGCCCCTTCCCCAACAACAACAACAGCAATAACTAGGAGCTCACTTAAACAAAACTAGTTCAGCAAAATTCACCAACAAAAGCAATGATCTCCCACAATAAGTTAAGTATTTTGTAGTTGCAGTCCCCCATGGAAGTGTTTTATCGTCTATCCTTTGGAACCAAGACTGCTCATTGCATTTGAGCTGACATCTTTTGGTGATGTTTTCATTTATGTTACCGTAGTCACTGTGATATTGTTTCCTGGTTCTGACTTCTTTAGGATTCACATAGGCCTTAGATGTTTTTCTGAATAGTTTTTTGAATACTGTAATGAATTCATCATTCTTTAAGAGCAAAATATTATCCCATTACATTCACATATCCACAATATTTTCAGCAATTCCGCAACCGACGTGCAATAACTTTATTTAATTTGCCACTACAAAATGTGCTACTATGACTATTTTGATATATGTGGGATCTTTCTATTTATGTCTTTGACCTCCTTGAGAATTAGATTTTTAGAACAAAGGGTATGAAGAGTTTACTGGATTTTCTTGTATAATTCCAAATTTTTTTAAAAAAAGTATTTTATTTTAAATATTAATATTTATAGAAAAAGAGAAAAACAAAACCATTTTAATGAATATGTGTAGTCAAGCAAAATAAATTCCTACACTGGCAATGTCCAGAACTGTGTTTTACTCTACATTTTGAGTCCATCACCTCTCGGTCAGGAGGTAGATAACATGCTGCATCATCTGTTCTTTGGAATCATGTTTCATCAGAATTTTCAAGTCTTTCAAAGTTGTCTCTATGTTGTTATTGTATAATCATTCTCCTGGTTCTGTTTACTTCACTCTGCATTAGTTCATACAAGTCTTCCCAGCTTCTCTGAAATCACTCCTTTTGTTATTTCTCCTGGCACAATATTTTATTACATTCATATGCCAAAATTTTTCAGCCATTCCCTAACTGATGGACAGGCTCCATCCCTCCCTGCCCTCCCCACTAAAGATGACGGAATCAATTCTCAGCTCTTTCAATAGTGTATTACTGATTCTATATTCCTACAGGTTCTCCAATATTTGCTATTTCTGATCTCAATATTTTTGCCAATGGAATGCTTTCATAGGATTTAGAGTTGGAAGAGGCCTTAAAGATCATCTAGTCCAATAATTTCATCTTAGAGGTAGAGAACCTGAGATCCAGAGATATTTAGAAAGTTCTATAAATAGTAAGTAGCAAAGGGAGTATTTGAACCAAGGACTTTAAATAAATAAATAATGCTTTTTTCAGCTATACTACAAAACTTCAAGAAGGGAGACAGGATCTATATATTGAAAGATGGGTAAAATTATCATTAAATTATTTGACAAATAGCTCCCAGTTCCTTAATCCTTCAAACAAAGATCCATAATTTCTTCATTCTACTTGGTTGATGTATGTTAATTATTAACCACTTATTCATTTCCAGTCTCCAGTCCCAAATCTCTTCTTCCCTCTCCATGGAAAGAAAAAATAAATATGTTTTTGAAACTCCTCATTTTGGGCAACCTATTAATGTGAAATTTACTGAGTTCCATTCCTTGATGATATTTCCAGAGTAGCACCGATCATCATAATAGAAACATGAACCCTTAGTTTGTCCAACCCAATTTTGTAGTTTTTCTGCCCAGGAAGTAATATTAGAATATGAAATATTACAGATGAAAGAGACCTTAGAGAAGACTTCATCCAAAGCCCTCATATTACATCAAAAGAGAATAAACAGGACCTCAAAAGGGATGGTTAATTAATGCTATTTTGCTTTCTGATTTTTCTCAATATGAAAAGGAGAATTGATTAAACTTTCCTACCCACTTACTTCCTACTGTTAGCAACAAATATCTTTTTATTTTATTATCATTTTTTTTTGAGCAAGGCAATGGGGTAAAGTGACTTGCCCAGGGTCACACAGCTAGTAAGTGTCAAAGGCCAGATTTGAACTCAGGTCTTCCTAAATCCAGGGCCAGTGCTTTATCTACTGCACTATCCAGGTGCCCCTAGCAAATGTCTTTTTAAATGAGAGGTTTGTGACAAATCAGTGCCAATGCTAGGAAAGGAAAAGTACAGTCCAAGAACAAAATCAGATTTATGAAAGGATGTTCTTTGCAGTCAATTGAGACATCAGGAGGGATGAAAATGGATGATGCTGTCAGTTTTCAGGTCTATGTCTAAAGTTTGGTCTCCATTAGCTGTCTGCGTAACTGCTTGAAATTGCAGATCAGCTCGTAGGACTGCTGGTGAAGAAAAGGAAGCCAGCAACAAAGATGGCTCCTTAGCTTCCCCTTTTTATACAGAAAGGTCCAATTTCTGATGTGTGTTTTATAAATTTGCCTTTGATCCAGGGGGTTGTAGAACAGAGGTTGGTAGGAAAGCAAGGTATTTTATGTTACTTTTGCTCCCAGATCTTTGAATACTGTAACTGGTTGAAGGGTTAAGAAAGAAAGGCTGGCTTATCCCAGGGTTGCCTTTGTCAATTTATTGGGTCTGTTCTCACAGAGAGAGGCTCTTATTGCCTCTGAGAAACTTCCCCAGTGAACAGAGGCTCACCCTCCTACATAGGCAACTATTAGTTTCTAGGGACTTCGTAACAAAACAAAGAACAAATGTCCTTTTAGGTTTGTTTACGATCTGAATTTATAACTTAACTATTAACTTTTGAGTCACTCTCTAGACTCTAAAAAGTTGGGGCTGTTAAGCTAGGATCATGAATAGATTTTAGTGAATCTGTGAATTTGGCTGGATTGAAATTATTTTTTTTTCATCAACCTCTAATTGAATTCCTTCAGCTATGAATATAGGTAACAAAACATTATTCTGAGAAGGGATACATAGGCTTTATCACACTGCCAAAAAAAGTTCCATGTCACACAAAACAGTTAAGAATACTTTTTCTGAAGCATTCAATGGTGGGTAGGGGTGGGGAGTGGTAAACAAGTGAACTCTTAATCTGGGTTTTTGTTTAATGCCTCATACATAGGGGGTGTGTTACACATCAAAATTAGGTGGGCCTAAACATAAAGGGAAAACTAACATGCTGGACAACAGAATCTCCATCCAAAGACATCTTGGCTGGCCAGAATAAGCAAAATCTAATAAAAGATGAAATTTAATAAGATTAAAGACTGAAACTGGGTTTTAAAAAATCCAGTTATACAAATACAGGCTAGAGAAGACATGCCCAGATCACATGGAAATTGCCTGTGAGTTTTAGTGGACTGCAACCACAATATGAATAAACAGTGAGATATGGTAGTACCCCCTCCCCCAACTGATGTTAGAATGCATAAGTAGAAGCAATATCCATGCGCAAGTACTGTTTCATTGCTACAGGGATTAATTTTCTCTAGGAAACAAAGCTGTCCCTGGGACCTGACTGACCTCTGCCTCACTTGAAGTAGCTTCCTGGTGACCTAACAGCATAAAAATTCCCACCCAAATGGATTCAACATCACTCTGACTTGGTAGATATCTGAAGACCACTCAAATTGATCATAACTTGTCCTATTGACCCGACATCTTTCCACATGAAGATGGGGGAGGGAAGGGGGTCTACATCCAGAGAAGTTAAATGCCATTATATCCTTGTTATTGGTCTTGTTGTGTTAGGGCAAAGTAAAGTACCATTATTAACTTATCAATGACTTGTGAGTGGCTTCATTTTGTCCCAACATGAAATTTGATCTAACAGGGTGCTGGTGTTAGGCTTACCCCTAAGAGTCGAGAATAAGGAGATGATTGTCTTTGATGCCTTTTACCCCAGTCAGACCACATCTAAATAACCTTGTATTCAGTTCTGCATACTACATTTTTTTGGAGACTAGGTCTCCCTATCTAGTCCAGGTTGGAAATGCAGCCACCACTACTGGGGCTAATCTCATTATTTATTGCTATAGAAGCTTTGACTAACTTCATTTCTGGCCTGGCACAAGAAGCCTGGTGCCTTCCTGCTCCTGGGGCTTCCTATATTAGTGCTGGATGTAGTGTTGACACACAGTCAACTTAGCTTAGATGTCCTGGGCTTATGCAATCTACCATCCTCAGCCTCCCCAAGTAGCAGGGATCTTACAGGCATGCACCACCATATGGCTAGATACCATATTTTAATAAGTATGTTCAGAAGATGTTAAGTAGATTAGAAACTGTACCCTTAAGAGAATCAATTGAAGTAACAGAGGATGCTTAGTTTGGAAAAGAGATGACATAATTATCTTCAAGTCTTATTAGTAAGATTATCTTGGGGAAGAGTGATTAGGTATATTCTGCTTGACCCTATGGGTAAAACTAGGAGTGCATAATATTTAGAATGATCCAAAAATGGGATGAGCAAAAGGCAGGTAATTACTTGTAAGTAATGAATCACTGAATGAATCAACAAGCATCTATTAAGTGCCCATTATGTGCCAGGCACTGATCTGGGTACCAGGAATACAAAGACAAAAGCAAAACAGTCCCTACCCTCAAGGAGCTTATATTTTAATAGGGGAGACAACATATACAAATGCAAGTATATATGAGATAGATACCACATAGGTACAAGCTAACCTGAGTAGAGGGAGAAGGGGACAATCAGGAAAGGCTTCCTGGAGAAGATAGCACTGAGATGAGTCTTAAGGAAACCAGGAATTGAAAGGTGGAGGTAAAGACAGAGAGCATTTCAGGTATGTAGGCTAGCTAGTACAAAGGCATGGAGATTGAAGATGGACTATACTGTGTGACAAAGGCCAATACAGCTGGCCCATAGAGTATATGGAAGAAGAAGGCTGCTAAGGTACAAAGAGGCCAGGTTGTGAAGAGGTATTTTTTATTGTAACAAATATGCATAGTCAAAACAAATTCCTTTATAGGCCATGTCCAAAAAATATATGTCTTAATCTAAATTCTGAGTCTATCACTCTGTCAAGAGGTGGGCACCATGTTTTTGTTATGAGTCTTCTGGAATGTTGGTTGGTCACTGAGTTGATCAGAGTTCTTAAATATGAAGAGCTTTCAATGTCAAGTAGAAGATTTTATATTTGATCCTATTGAGATTCCCCTCCAGTGAGCCACTGGAGTTTACTGA